CAGCCATGTCACAGCCCTGTTACAGTGTAACTGATCACAGCCATGTCACAGCCCTGTTACAGTGTAATCCCTCATTCATATCATAGTCCCGTTACAATGTAATCCCTCACAGTCATGTCACAGCCCTGTTACAATGTAATCCCTCACAGTGATATCACCGCCATTACAGTTTAATCCTTCACAGTAATGTCACAGCCCTGTTCTGTAAACATGCTTATAATAATAACAATAATTTCACTTCCATCTGCTTTCAGAAAGCGAGGCGAATTCTTTAATCTCACCAAAAACAGCCAGTTTCTGTGGGATGATGAGTACCACAGAGATCTGCTGAGGTGAGCCAGAGCTGCCTGTTAGCACTTGTCTTCTCCCTGACAGCCCAGGGTGCTCCGCATGCTTCCACCAGCACCTGGTCTTTGTCTGCCCAGTTTAGTTAAACTCCCACAGGGTCTCCAAGGTGACGTTCTGATCCGGCCCATGTGATGCCACCCTGCAGGTCAATGCTGATGACAGCTTGTGACATCTCCGCCATCACCAAGCCCTGGCCTGTGCAGAAGAAGGTGGGTTTTTAAATCGTCTGGGAGCAGGAACATCCCACTAACATAGAGCTCAGTCTTATACAGAAGCAGGGAGGTGGGGTGCTGCACTGCTCAGATTATACATTAGGATTTTCCCTGTATTCCTATGTACTCAGTTTGAGGGCTCACTTGCATCTTCAGCCGTCAATCTACTTTAAAAATATATATTACTTTATTACATGTAGCATGTTTACGATAGTTGCTGAAAAATGCTTCATGGTAAATTTCCAGACTGAAAGAATAACTACATTTTCCCATTTGTGGAAAAATGAGAATTCCATGCACGTGTTACAGAAGGCAACCAAGTAGTAGTGGGAGAGGCAAATAGGTGTTCCTACACGTCTGAAGCACCTTCTGAAATTTCTGCCTAACTGCGCTCCTGGTGGACTCCTCACTTCCATTTTCGCAGTGCGTGGCTGAAAGGTTGGCTGCTGTTGGCGCCGCCTCAGGACAGTCCATGTAACCCACATGATAGTGGATCACATGAAAGAAAGTGTTAAAACGGTTAGTATTTAAATAGTTAAAAATAGTAATATTAAAAAAAAAAATATTACAAATAGGAAGTTTTTGAAAGGAAAAAAAAATCAATTCATGTGCTGTTTTGCTTTTATTTTGCCAAAGAGTCCATTTGGAAATTTATTGGAAAGCAGAGTTACATGAGGCTCAACCAATCAGAAAAATGTGCACGCTAAGTAGTCCAGCCCACCTGCTGCTGGGAGGAAGTTTGGGCGTGCTAGCGGGAAAAAAGTTTTGAGACGAGAGCGAGACCTTGGCGTTGGAAAAAAAACTGGAGCTTAATAACGACGAACATTAATAAAAGTACGGAAATATTTACAGCATTTCCATAAGTTGACGATTCGGTTGCGAGTTTGGA